TGCAGCAGCTGGAGCAGCAGCAGCAGGAGCGGGCCGCGCAGGGCCGGTACCTGGCGGCGTTCCGCTGCCAGCAGCAGCTGCGGCAGCAGCAGCTGCTGCTGCTGCTGCAGCACGGCGAACTCGCCGAAAGGCAGCAAGCGCTGCGCAAAGTCGCACAGGCCAACTGCTGGGCTGCTGCTCTTCAACTCAACAGAAAATATAAAGGACTTTTTTTTGGAGACCAAAAGTTCTTTTGCCAAGTCACCACCAACGACGACAAACTCATCAAACGAATCCCCATGCAGGTCCGAGGGTTTAGGGTTTAGGGTTTAGGGTTTAGGGTTTGGGGTTTGGGGTTTCGGTTAGGGTTTCGAGTTCAGGGTTTGGGGTTTAGGGTTTAGGGTTTAGGGTTTGGGGTTTCGGTTAGGGTTTCGTGTTCAGGGTTTAGCGTTTAGGGTTTAGGGTTTAGGGTTTAGGGTTTAGGGTTTGCGGCGGCAGGGGATAGGGACGAGTCTAGCGGGGGCCAAGGGTGGGGTTTAGGTTTTAGGGTTTAGGGCTAGGGTTTAGGGTTTCTGCAGAAGCAGCTGAAGAGTAGGAACAGTTGCTGCCCAGTGGCCTGCTGCCCCTTGCTTTGCTGCAGCAGCAGCAGCTGCAGCAGCAGCAGCTGCTGCTGCTGCTGCTGCGGCAGCAAAGCAAGGGGCAGCAGCAGAAAATGCAGAGCGAAAGCCACTGGGAGACGCCAGTCCCGCAGCAAAAGAAGCAGCAACAGTAGATGCCGCCGCAGCAACACTAGCTGCAGCAACAAGAGCAGCAGCAGCAGCAGCAGCAGCAGCAGCAGCAGCAGCAGCAGCAGCAGCAGCAGCTTTCTGTGCGTCTCAGGTGTTTATTTCCTATGAATACCCTCGACTCTACAGAAAGTACAGAGTGGTGTTTCCAGGCATTGGAGCGGCTCCTCCTTCGGTATTTCTAAACCCTAAACCCTAAACCCTAAACCCTAAACCCTAAACCCTAAACCCTAAACCCTAAACCCTAAACCGCAGCTGCATTCTTTGTCACTTGCATGCTGCCTGAATTCATCGCTTTTCTCTGCTCTGCCCTTTTCCATGAGAAGAGTCTCAGCAGCCGCAGCTCAACCTCTCAGCCACTGCCACTGCTGCTGCTGCCACTGCTGCTGCTGCTGCTGCTGCTGCTGCTGCTGCTGCTGCTGCTGCTGCTGCTGCTGCTGCTGCAGCACCGGGCGCGCACTTCGCTCTCTGCAGAGGAAATAGCCCGCCGCGAGGCCGAACTGCGGGACACTTTGCTGGCCACTTTGCAGCTCTGCAACAAAATAAGAGAACAACTCGAAGTTCTCAAAGCTTATAGCGGGAGGCCCCCGCCCCCCGCCCCCACCCAAAAGGCCCCAAACTCGCAGCAAAACGAAGCGCCTCGGGGGCCCCCTGGGGCCCCGGGGGGCCCCTGAGGGGGACCCCTGGGGCCCCGGGGGGCCCCTGAGGGGGCCCCCTAGGGCCCCGGGGGGCCCCTGAGGGGGCCCCCTAGGGCCCCGGGGGGCCCCTGTGGGGGCCCCCTAGGGCCCCGGGGGGGCCCCTCAGGGGGCTGCCGAGGGGCCCCCACCCCGTGCAAGTCCCTCCACAGCCCCGGAGGGGCCCCAAGGGGACCCCTCTGGCTTGAGGGGCCCCCGTGGGGCCCCTCACGCCCTCAGGGGCACCCTGGGGGCCCCTTGGGGCCCCGTGATGGTCCCCGTGGGGCCCCTTGTTGTCTCAGGGGCCCCCTTGGAGCCCCTTGTTGACTCAGGGGCCCCTTGGGGGCCCCTTGCTGCCTCAGTGGCCCCCAAGGCAGTTTGATGGGAGCTCTCTGGGGCCTCCTGGGGGCCCCGGGGGCCCCCCTTGGGGGCCCCCTGGAGCTTTTGGGGGCTTTGAGTTTGCCTGGGGAATTGCCCGGGGCAGTGGGACTGAGGGCAGCTTCTGTGTGCCCCACAAAGCCACTAGAGGCCCAGGCCCTAGTACCCTAGCTGGGGCTGCAGCAGGCCCCTAAGGGGGCCCCCTTAGGGGGCCCCCTTAGGGCCCTAAGGGGGCCTCCCTAAGGGGGCCCCCTTAGGAGGCCCTCTTAGGGAGGCCCCCTTAGGGGGCCCCCAGGGGCCCCAAGCGCTGCAGGGGCCGTCCTGCAACTGAGTGTATTGTGGACACCGGGGGGCCCCCATGGAATGCCACAAACCCTCCGGTGACCCCTGAGGGGCCCCTTTGGGAGAATTGGGAGTTCTTTATATTCTCGGGGGCCCCCCTAGGGCCCCTGAGCTGCTAACAAATGTGTAGGGGCCCCAGCGGGGCCCCCTGGGGCCCCTTCTCATAGCCAGGGTCACCTCGGGGGGCCCCCGGGTGGCCGTCGCCGCCAAAACAGTGGCACTGGCTGCGCAGCGTCGAAAACTAAAGCTTTTAATTTATTTAATTATGTTTATTTAGGAAGATTGAGAGGCAAAATGGCGCGAGGGCCCCTCAGGGGTGCCCTGGGGCCCCCCAAAGAGCTGCAGCTGCTGCTGCTGCGGCCAATCTGGGGGCTAGCCAAAGACAAGGGGATAAAGCAGCGGTGGATAAGGACTTTTACCCCTTTATAAAGCATTTTTATGGAAAATAAAATATAAATGAATGATCGCGGCTGCAGATGAAGGTGCAGAAGGTCTATTTCCGGTGTATCGACAGCTCAGAGGTCCACAGACAGACCGCGCCCAGAGCCCGGGAGATGCTGCAGAGGCAACTTTTCGTTAAAGTGTCTTTGCCAGTATAATTAATTTCCTTTTTAATTTATTTAATTCAAACAAATGCCATTTTGCGTCTTTTACTTCATTTCAAGCCGGCCATGGAGACCAGGGAAGGACCCGCAGTAGGACCTGGCGGCAGACGCAGTGTACAGACAGATCAGGAAACAGCAGCAGCAGCAGCAGAAGCAGCAGCGGCAGCAGCAGCAGCAGAGGCAGCAGCAGCGGCTGTAATCTGAGGCAGAGGCAGCAGGAGAGACGGCGGCACTGCTTGCAGCATGAGGACGCTGCAGCAGGGGCAGCAGCAGCTGCAGCAGCAGCAGCAGCAGCAGCTGCTGCTGCTGCTGCAGCAAAAACGCGCGCTAGAAACGGCCCGCTGCGGCCGCTTGATGGTGGAGCAGCGGCTGTGGCAGCAGCTGGGAGTGCCTCCCCCCGAGAGGGGCCCTGAGGGTCTCAAATCAGGTAACAGCAAAAAGATCTTTTTTAAACTTCTTCAAACTTCAATTTATAAAATCAAATTCTTTTATTTTGCATTTATTTCACATTATTTGCAAACTCTCCTCCACAGAAAACAGCCAAACCCCCCACTTAGACTGCCATTTGCTTCTCCTTTTCCGGCTCCCCCGCAGCAGCAGCAGCAGCAGCAGCAGCAGCAGCAGCAGCAGCAGCAAGGAGATAGACAGCCCGAGGCGCCGGCAGCAGCAAAATGATACAAAAAAACCTTAAAATGTCTCTTTTTATTTTCTCTTGTGGCTTCTGCTGCTGCTGCTGAGTCTTCATAAATGCAGCTTCTTTTGCTGCTGTGTGTCTGCAGGCCTCTACTTGCTGCGGCACTTGGTCTCCTACGGCTTCTACCCTCCCTCAGCAACAGCAGCAGCAGCAGCAGCAGCAGCAGCAGCTCCAGCAGCAGCGGCAGCAAACTACTGGGGGCTCGTGCTGCCCGTCCTCAAAGGCCTGGGACTCCTGCAGCAAGACTGCCGCGCTGCACTTCTCATGAAGCCTTGTCGAACTACTTGGATCCAGGTCTTGGATGAGATAGAGTCCATTGTCAGAATCAGCAGCAGCAGCAGCAGCAGCAGCAGCAGCAGCAGCAGCAGCAGCAGCAGCAGCAGCAGCAGCAGCAGCAGGCAGAGCGGCGCCGGTGCCAGCTGGAGAAGGAGCAACACTCGAAATGAAAGGATAGAGGAGGGCGCAGACGAAGGGAATAGAGTGGCTGTTATTGGTTTGCGGCAGCAGCGGCAGCAGCTGCAGCAGCAGCAGCAGCAGCAGCAGCAGCAGCAGCGTACGGCGGCCTACAGGTGTGAACGAACTGACTGCTCTGTCAGCAGCAGCGAAGGCAGCAGCGACGCAGGCTCCAAAGACAGAAGCGCCGGCAGCAGCAGCAAGAACAGAAGCAGCAGCAGCAAGAACAGATGCAGCAGCAGCAAGAACAGAAGCAGCAGCAGCAGCAGCACGACAGCAAGCTCCTGGCAAACTTCTGCTTCCAATGTCGACAGCAGCAGCAGCACAACGGCCGAGCCGCCAATGGCAGTGCCAAGCACATCTCTCCCTTTACGGCAGCAGCAGCAGCAGCAGCAGCAGCAGCAGCAGCAGCAGCAGCAGCCAGAACTCTTCAAAAGGGGCAATGCTGAAGAAGTGCTGCAGGGCTTCTGCTGCCCCTCCAGGAGACCTTTAAGAGACACTTCGCCCTCCCCGGCGCCGCTGAGATCAGCAGCAGATTCTTTGAAGAGAGAGAAGAGCATGCTTCAGCTTTCTCCAGCTTACAGGCAGCTGAAGCAGCAGCAGCAGCAGCAGCAGCAGCAGCAGCAGCAGCAGCAGAAGCAGTGGCCCCTGCAGCCGCCGCTGCTGCAGCAGCAACTGTCGCCGCAGCAAAGAGCTACGCAAAGTCACAGCGATGCAGACACTCCTAGGCTGGCCATTCTAGTGGGTCAAACCAATAATAGGCAGCCACAGCAGCAGCAGCAGCAACAGCAGCAGCAGGGGCTGCAGCAGGGGCTGCAGCAGGGGCTGCAGCAGGTGCTGCCCCTGGTGCAGCAAAAGAACAGCACAAACTCAATTGCGGAACGTCGAGTGCTGCGCACGCAACAGCAGCAGCAGCAGCAACCACAACAGCAACGACAACTAAGAGCAGCAGAGCATGGTATGCAGCAGCAGCAGCAGCAGCAGCAACCGCAGCAGCAGCAGCAACAGCAGCAGCAAGAGGTTCCTGAGCCCTCAAAGAGGACACAGCAGCAGGCAGCACAAGGCGAACGCCTCCCTGCTGCTTTTCCTG